TTGGTGGTGGAAATAGATCCAGTCTCCGTATCGAGTCATCCACTACCGCATCATAGATCTGCGTAGGCATAGGCAGAAATTATACGACTATCGAGGTTGCAACATAACACCTGCGGACTATTGTTAAAGGACCACCTGCAGTTATTTGGTTTATCCAAGGTCGTAACAAGAAATATCGACGGGAAAAGGATATCAGAGAAATTACCGTTACCGCAAGAAGGACTAATTTGGAAATTATGTACCGTAAAAAAGACACAATATATTGTTTAAGGACGTTACATTAATTTTTTGATATTCGCAAATATTAAAACCGCTAGAGGTTTGGAATGTAGAGAATCAAAAACAAAAAGGATGATAAGATTGAAATCGGACGATAAACGTTCCCTTTATTGTGTCAGATCAATCTTCAGGTATTAGAACGTTATTTAACCGAGGACAACAGTCAAACTTAATAATTGGATGAGTTTGTGGTTAACAGCAATTTTAGTTTGTTATGATACTGCCATCAACCAGAGAACAAGATTCGAGTGCAATACGAGATGTATTTTACGATTAGCATTACTTTAGTTATGTGTCGTTATAAATAGTAACGATCACATATTTTGGTTAGGATTGATAAAAATCATAGTCACGATGGTAAAATACTTTCTTTTTGTTAGATCGAAAAAAATTTTACACTCGACTTAAGTATAGAAATATTATTTAATTTCCAACACTAAATCATCTATTACGGAACCGTATAATAAATCTTCTGCTGCTATTCGACTGTCACAAATACATCTACGTCTAAAAAATGATAAGTATCTATTGGAACTTATTTTTTCCAAATTTGCAACTTAAATAAATTTATTTGTAGGTACCGTTAGAAATTTATAAGACAAAAACAGTAATTCTGCGAAAACAGAATTTATTTACAACACATGGATGATGGCAATACAAAAGGTGTTCGACTCTGGGCGATTTGCCAATACAGAAGGGTTTCTCACGAATTTCGGATAAATTATATATCATATGAAAGTCTTTGCCAAGTTAGAAAAATTATTGTCATTTGTATTCTATATTCAAAACTAAAGAACAAATACCTTATTTATTTATAAATTAAATCAAATTTTCAACTTTCTAGTTATATTATAAAATTGTAAATTATTAAACAATTTTCTTAAATTATATCAAATGCGAGATTTACTAGTAAATTTTGAAATGGAAACCCATCAGTATAAGCTTTACACTGTCAGATTGCGTCTGATCAAATCCTGTCGTAACTACTGTGAGGTATTTCACACGCGCTTTCTTCAGTAGAAAATGCGTTTATAGTCAGCCATGCGGTGATTGATTCACTCAATGATTGCCTATAAACTTTTTCATCAGGGAAAAACGTATTTTACATTTTCGACACATATAGGAAAATATTTATAATAAAAAAAAGAAGAAATTCGGATAAGGATTTTTTAATAGTACAATTTTGAAAAATAATGTAGTGCAATATAAATAAATAAAATATGTAAAAAATTGCATTGGTAACGTATCCTAAATTTATCTTCTTCATTTTTGTCAGCATAGTAGAACTTGTAATTTAAAAATGATTAATCATTATTCGAGTTGTCGCTTGAGATTAGGAGTGAAAACTCTTGTCTTATAACAACTTAAATAGAGAGTGCTTTCGATGTGAATGGATTTACGGACATTTTTATGAATTAGTGTCAAAAAGCATTTCTCGCAGAAAAGAGAGAGTGAGAGAAAGATACTGGACTTAAGACGCTGGGAAACAAGATGCCCATTAAGCAGCGAGAAGGGACATTTATTTCACTTACACTCTGTGCGCGAGGGAGAAACGCCACACAATTTATCGTACTTACTAGCCCGATTCTTTACAGGCCGTAAACCCTCTCGTAGTTGTAGGAAACCTTCTACAACGTACTTGTACAGCATGGCATCGTTGTTGAGAGAGAAAAGTCAAACTCACCAAGCGCACTAATTGTACAACAATTGTAAACTTTACATTTATTTCTGTTTCATCTTCTGTAACTTAATTACTGCAAATAATATTACTTGTTTTAGACATAATTATACAAACTTTAGAAAAAGTTATTTTAAACATTATTTAGATTAGATTACATGTAGTTGTTTGAAATAAATATTAATTTAAACTTATTTAAAATGTATTTACGTCAAGGAATTATGGAGCAAGAGCAGAATTTTTTAATAATGTACAAAAATATTTTTAATTAATTTATTAATTTAATATCATTTGATTGTCCGGAGATGCAAAAGGCAAAAGGGTGGCTGGCCCCTTGCCGAATTAGTCTTCTTAGACTTCAGTCCAGGAAACTCCTTTAAGTTAGTTAGTCCAGGTCACCATCGAATCAACTTCGCGTCAGTCCAGGAATTGCCACCAAGTTAATTATTTGTGTACTGTCATTGAGTTTGTTCTTCGACTCCATTCCAAAAAATCTTTTCAAGTACCAAGTGCATTCTTCAAGTCTCGTCTTAGTCAAGTTCATTCAAGAAGATAATTTCTACTGCGAGGCACATTTCTAATTTTCTAAGGACTGCATTACCTCGACATAAACATCAAATATATAATTCGGCCACTCCTAGGCTGAGGGGTGTTTCATCTAATTTGCATCGACATCTGGACTCCAAACCTTTCACTTTGGCTGGCCCGAAAACAATTCAAGGATTTCAAATCTTGTCGCAATTTAAATTCTTGACTCATTCCACAAAGTTCTAACTTTGTTTCAGTGTGCCTGAAGACATCTGGATCTACTCTTTCTTTCTTATTCTAATTGTAAGGGATTCAAATAAAAACTTTAATAATTTAATTTCAATTTAACAGTTACTCTTTCTTCAAACCTTTCCCTTAATATCAAAGCCTTTCGCTCTGTGAATAAATCAGGTTTGAATCACCAATGCCGGAAAATTTAAATACATCCTAATTTAGAATATGTTGGTTTCGTTCTGAGACATAACATTTGTAACGCTGTAAAGTTTAAAATTCCTGAAATTTCTGGACCATGCCCATGATGCGGACGTGAAACCCCCTTTTCATTATTAATAATATTGTTAAACTATAAAAGGGGTTATTATAATTAATGTAATTAGAGAATACGCACATAAAGTCAAAATACAATTATTTTGATGTGTCAAAAAGTTCGAGAGCACATCCTGGCAACAGTAGTAATTAAGAATAATTTCTGCTTTATTTTATTGTTCTGTTTAAGCTCGTTGAACGCAGTTTTCAATAGCGCGAGTTTAACCAATCACTAAAATTCTCCTAGTTTCGGAGTAAAAAGGGCTTGGAACACAACTTGAGGGCGTTAATATCTTGTTAACAATTTAAAAGGATATCAACTTTAACGGTTCGCTTTCAAGCATTTATTGCATCAAAGTTTTTATATTTTTGTTACCCTTTAGGATTCAAATGGCAGAATTCTGAAATATAAAAATTATTACAACTAAGTTAATTTATAATTGAAATTATTTGAGGAACGACATATTATTGTAATTTTGTGTCGCTTTATGAGTAGGAAATTCAATGACAAGTGGATGGGATGCAAAACGTTGAATATAGAACATTCGGGTTTCCGGGCTTTTCAGCATTAAACAATAACGGAATCCATAGTGTGAATCTACAGGCACCACGATCATATTATCAAGTTGCTTGATTTTCAACAAAGACTGCTACCTGCATCATCTTACAGTAGCAACATTATGTCAATTTCCGATCAGATGACAATATTTCATCTACAGATATCTACTCCATAGAATATTATCTTCTCCATATTGAATAGAAATACGTTTTATCCCATAGATATCATCAAAAAGACTCACAATAAAAATCTACTTCGGAGTAGATTCTATACCTTTTGATGAATTCTCGGTTAGGGTTTTCACAGATTTTTTTTAGATTTTAATATTCCGCGTCTGGAATGCATATCATGCGGTGCTCCTTACCTTACTATTCTTTTAATAGTTAATCAATTCTGAGCATAAACGAATATTTGCAAAATTAAAAATGAAATTAAAACGGAAATTTAAAATTCAGATTTGGTGAGATACAGTTTTCTCTAACAAGAAAGCTTTTTCATTTTATCTGAAATTTAGATGTTGCGGAATATTTCGTGATTTCGGGAAAATAAATTTCCAAGGAAATATTAATAAAACAAAGAATGAGCTCTTGCTCCTAATTCACAAAAAGGCTTTTGAAAATAAATTGTGTTTTTATAATATGGAAAATTGGGTCGGTAGAGGAGCCAAAATGGTAAGTTTCTGGGTCATAAAGTTGTTGAGAACGCCAGAGGGAGCATTCGACCGTGTATAGTGAATATAAAGCTAAATAAAATACCATCCGACAGTCAGTCCATAAAGAAGAAGCTAGTAAAAGCAGTAGGATAAAAATCTCAAAAGTAATACCTTATTTATTACATCGACCTAAAAACTTTTGCCCTTTCAACATTTTATTTTTATTCTCTCTCTCTCTCTCTGGTCTTTTTTTATTTTTATATTCACAAGTTTTGAAATCTTGTAAATTTATTATTTCTATGTTATACAGAACATTAAAATGTAATCATAATATTTTTCCCTCTTTCACATTTATATTTCTCATTAAAATTATTGCATTTCTATTTTATTGTACATTCAATTTGGAGAATCTCAAAAATGTGGAAATTGTTTCGATATAACAAGGACTTCTGAATTCCTAAAATGTCAGGCGAATCGTTTGACTATTGGAATCCGGGCAATTCATGTTTTCATGCAGCAATGGTCACTGATAACATTCCACATGCTTTTACAGCTTTTTAAAGAGAGAATTTTAGAGATTTTTTTTAAAGTTGTATTTTCGATGTACCAATTTAGCTGTTGTAAAATTACGATTTGTTAAATCGGTATTTTATTATTATTATAATAACTTTCATTGTAATTAAGTTTATACATAAGTTTCTATTTGATATTTAAATATGTGAAAATTTAATGGTTTTATTTGATTTTTATGTTTTCAGGTCCTGTCACTTCTGCCAACTTAATAGAAGCGAATATACGTGAGGAAGAAACTAGACTCGAAGTTGAGAGACTTACAGCAGAAATTCGAACCCTAAAACTGCAGATTTTGCAACTTACTGGTAAAGATATATTTTATAATTGTAATATTATATATATATTTGTAATATTCGAGAGATCAAAACTATTATTAGTGTGAGATAAGTTTGCCTACCTTGTCAATGAACCTGAGTTCATTGACATCACATTTAATAGGAATGGTATTCATCTATAAATATTATATCAAATTCAATATTGGTTTCCTCCTTCCATTTGGTTTTACTTTTTGGGAAATTATCTATCCGATAGATTTAAATCAGTTAAAATTAAACATGATTATTCTGATCCACTTTTATCTACTTCTAGTTTCTTCCAAAAATTGGTTTCTTTTCCAATAAATATTCTCTCCCAACAATTATTAGTAGATTCATTGACTTATCCTCATCCCAAACTAGGTTCAATTCTTAAACTAATTTAAAGCAAGGGACATTAATTTTTTTTGAGGTTTTAGTTCTCGACATGACACTTGTATAAAATAAATATTTCATTTGTATGCTACAAAATTGTGTAACCTTTAGTTTCGAGGATTTATTAGTATGTTATTCATCATATACTATTGTCACACATTACTTTTTTTAATAATTCCTGTAATCGAATTCAATTAACACTAATTTTACCCTGTGGTCTATTTGTGGATAACTTAATTTTCAGTTCAAAAAAACTACGTATTTCTGAGGTCAATGAAAACCGTTTTTTCCGCCTCAACTTTCGAGATTAGTAAGCGATCTGTATAGATAAGTCAAGCACGAGGGATTTGTAATTACAGAGTCGGTCCTTCCATTGGTCGATCGATCTTCCTTAATGTCATTTACTCATGCCCAGATAAATCTTCTTCTCTGGGATCAAGGCCGACGTGGTTTCCGGCTGGAGTTACCTAGGCGCAGAAATTACCCTTTCAGTTATTAAGACGCATTGCTTTTTGACCTTCTTGTTTTTCATTACTTTCATTACTTGAAATTTAAATAAATTATTTATGAGGAACAACATTTACGTGAATTCTGCGGTAAATTTATCCGAGAAAATTAAAATTATACTTTAAAAAAGGAAATCTAATAGGATAAGGGAAATGACCTTGAATTTGTAGGCAGCGTCCCTAAAAATCTCTAAAAACATGTTTGGTATTTAAACATTATCCTCCCCCTTTCTGGGAGTGTTACAGAGCTGAAAAAAATTTTGAAACAGTTTAAAGATTAGATTGATACTTAAATTACACGACATCAAGTTGAGTTCAGTCCTAAGACCATCACCCACCAACTTTGTGGCTTTTCGAGGACTTCATTCAGTAACTGCCGGATTTTATCTTCCTAAGTAAGGCAACCGAAATCGCGGATCTCGAGAGTTACTTTTCTATCGACCTCCTACACTTTAAGAATACTTCCCATCCACTCTGGATCCCTCTGCGTTTAATGCCTACTTGTTCGAGTAATCTCCAATTTAATAAGGTGGTCTTCCTTCTTAGAATTAAAGTTTGTAGACACATCAAACAACTAGGAAGCGTTAAAAAATCTCAATTGAAAAATATTAAATACGTTTACTTAACGATTAATTAATTATAAAATTTAATTTCGACAGTAAACAAAAATTAATAATTCAACAATCTTTATACAACCTTAAGTAAAATTCACTGAAGACGTTATTTTAAATCCAATTTCAAGTTTTAATTCAACTCATAGTTAAAGACTCAACTACGAACTTGAATCTAATATCGTTATATCGTTATAAAATCATTTACTTAATGGTACTTTCTCGTGCAAATGATATAGCTTCTTTGTCTGCTTCTATAGAATTTAAAAAAAATTATTTTTTATTTAATGAAAATTAAAATAGGGACTACAATCGTTTTATGATGGTAATATTGAGCAATGATATTAACGACAATTGTCACGTTAATTACCTAACACATTTTTCATTAAATGAACATAATGGCGCATGAACAAAATATTTCATTTATCATTCTCTTTGATTATTTCCATTATCAGGAAACGGTAAATTAATTCTCGAGTACTTTTTTTTTAGTCATCCTTTCAAATGCATTCTTGCAGAAGAGAACAAAGAACATAAATGTTTGATAACGCAAAAAAGAAAATTGCTGAAACGGTTCAAACTGTGCAGAAAGGCCATTATCACAAGGTGTAAGCGGGGAAAAAGGGAAGGGAAAAAAGAAAGTAGAAATGTAAAGAGAGGTGGGGTTAAAATTTATGTCAGTACGTTACTTGTTGGAGTGCCCTTTGAAAGTGGAAGTTTTTATTTGTTTGAAGATTCCTTGGAAGTTTAGTGTGCTTTAAAAACCTCTCTTGCTCTACCTGTACACATCGATCGATAAGATTTTAAGAGGAGAAAATAAAGATGCGCAATACAAAGTTATAAAACCAGCGATTAATGTACTGATGGTGATTTAAAAGAAGCCAAATTCGGTTAATTTGAAATACTACTACTTCAAATATTTAACGTTCATTATTTTACAATTTACAGTAGCTTTTAACAACTTAATTAGTATTGTTTGCTTTACTTTTCGAAATGATATTAAGTATTTAATTTTGTGCGTGGGGACTTACAACAATTAAATTACTATCAAACACCTGAGACGACGAATGATTGAATTGAAGCAGAGAGGTTTCTCTTCAATATTGTTATCGACTTACGTGTCTTGAACTTAGATTCACTGGAACAAATATTAGTTTATTCTTCGGTCAATTCAGGGCACAACCAAAAATAAACTCGTAACATAATTCAATAGTTTAATTAAACAAAGTGGAGCCTAATTTAATGAGGCGGCATCAATGCACCTCTTCATAGTCGGGTGAACTTCACAAAATGCACACCTATCCGCGATCAGGCGTGACAAATACAATTTTTGTCAGACCTTTGGTTCTTCAATTCATCTTTTTCTGCTCGGGTCAGGTCTTCTAGGCAATGACCTCTTCCCGTCAGGTCTCAATCGTCACTGACTTGAACACTTGATCCCTTCTCCTTGCTCCGTCCCTCTCCCTCCCTTTTTCTTCTCACTTAAATTTCAATTTTCCTTGTTCTCATCGACAACAAATATAAGGGACTTGAAAAGAAACAGGACAAACCGATGATAAGAAAGAGCAGGGCATAAACCTATATTTCCAATCTTTCCACGTCTTTTTGGATGGTGACAACAACGTTTGTTCGATCCTAGGATCATCATCTTCCTGCTTTGCTCTTAATTGAGAAAGAACTTGTCCAGGGCTTTTTGGAGTCCTTCAATTTGTCTACCCCTTACCAAACTTTTCAATGATTTTAGACATCGTTGGTGAAATTCTCATTATTTGTAGAGCCTTCTTGGGCCTTGTTTCCCACCACTCGTGTTTTTAATTATGCTAATTTAAAAAATGTATCAATTAGACAAAATTCTGAAATCGTTAAATTAATTTATTTCGAAACAGAGTAATGAATTTATAGATTAAATAAGAGTTAACCTAGTAGGAATTTTCATGTTTTAGGTGGACCACCCGGACACAGTGAAACATCATCTTTAATAAACGCTAGCGATGTGGGTGATTGTTTGGCGGCACGTCGACAAGTTGAATTTGCAGAGATCACTCAGGGTCTTCCATTGAACAACGAATATGAGTTAATAGCATTTAATCATTTTACATTCTCAAGACTTTATCCAGTGGACCTAGGACTGGGTAAGCGTGTCGTTGAAAAGCCAATTGGATTTAAGAGAAAGGATTTACTTGAGGCCCTAACTAAAGCAATGGAAGCCTTAAATAAGAATGTATCGTCGCTTTCCTTAAGGTATACATTGGAAGACTTCTTGGAGGGTCTGTACAGAATAGAGCCAACAACTGGAACACAATATGAAATGTACTTTAGAACAAAGAACTTAAATAAAAGTGCTGCACAAGTGACGCATTCAGGATATACTAAAATTACCTTAATGAGGCCTTACGCTCCTATTCAATTTGTCTCAACTAAGAGGCAACATGCAAAGGAAAAGGAATTAATTCATATAATCCTACCCCTTTCTGGTCGTACAAGTACATTTCAGAGCTTTATGGACAAGTTCGTTAAAATTGGTCTTAAGAATGATAGAAGAGTACATTTAACGGTTGTTTATTTTGGAACTGAGGGATTGTCAGAAGCTAGAGCTATTATGTCAAGGTAGTGCAACAGAAAACGATTTATCAGTTTCTGTCAATTACAAATTTTGTTGGTAGTCCTAAATATTTTTCTTCATCTCCTAGCTGAAGGTGGTATTAAATATGTTAATGTTAACTTTTCGGCGATGATCCTGGGTACTTAAGAGATAGATATAATTCGATTAACTAATTTTGTGTCTTTTCTCTACACTTAAATTAATTTACGAAAAGTATTGGCTAAATATATTTGGCAGCAGGAGAAAGAGAGTTTACTTTAAAAATCCTATTTTTTAAAAACAAAAATTAGTTAGTAAACAAAATTTAGACTAGGGATGAAGAAATATTCAACTCTTGACTAATATATGTTAATAACGATTGCATTTTTTATATGTCTAGAATTTTAATGACTCGTGGTAGTGGTGGAACAAATCAAAATTTGCGACTTCTTGCTTTAAATGAAACTTTCTCAAGAGGCAAAGGTTTAAGAGTTGGCGCTGAAAGAACCTGGGAAGGAGAGGGAGATGTTCTTTTATTCATGTGTGACGTCGACGTTGTCTTTAGTGCCAGATTTCTAGACAGGTGAGCTCTTAAAATGTAATTGAAAATAACTTTAAAGTATAACCTGATTATGAAAAGTTTTTAACAAATCGATTTGTGCATATTTTTATCTATAATAATTATTAAATTATTAAATTTTTTTTTTTTTATAAAAAAAAATTTTTTCTATTAAATATAATATTCTGCTTCTTATATTCCCTTAAGTAGTTAATTAATGAGAATGGTTCAATTTGCGAAATTGCGAATAATGGTATTCTGAATTTAAACTTTAAATCGATCGATAATTGAGTGAAATTTGAAACTTGTCCTATCATAGGTGTCGATGGAATACATCTCCTGGTCGAAAGGTCTATTATCCTATTGTCTTCAGTCTATATAATCCTCACGTTGTGTACACACTTCAGGGTCGCGAAGTGCCGCCTGAAACTGATCAATTGGTTATATCAAGAGACACTGGATTTTGGAGAGATTTCGGATACGGAATGACGTGCCAATACAGGTTACATTAGCCATTAAACCTTGTGATAAATTTATATTTTGACTCAACAATTTTCACACTAGTGTTATATAATAAAAACTTGTTTAATATAAATTTAAATTATTATTTAAATTCATATTTAGTTTTTAATCTTGACGTGTTAATTCGTACTTTAAAAACTCTTTTAAATTCTTTTCAAAAGAAAACTTAATTTTTCTTTTTCTCGACCTTGGGTTTGAATCTTTTTTTTATGCAAGACCTGTAATAATATTTGCAGATCTGATTTTCTGAGGGTAAGAGGATTTGACGAGGATATTGTTGGATGGGGTGGGGAAGACGTCACTTTATATCGAAAATATGTCAAGAGCAATATCAAGGTCATCAGGGCTACGGATCCGGGGATTTTTCATATTTGGCATCCAAAGGTAATTTTGAAATAAGTAGAAGATTCCATCCTTGGAAGAAAATAATTAAATGATGAATTTATTTTGCTTATTAGAGGGCAATAAATTTTATTTAAGGGGTTACGCCACCCTGAAAGCATGAAAATCGGATGGATTTTTAGAAATTTTTTTGACGAAACTATTTGAGGTAGGAATTTTTTACATTTATTGTTAATTTAATACATATCTTAAGCTTTATAAATATTAAAAAAAGTTGTTTTTAAATAAAAATGGCGGAGATATAAGCATTGGCGTGGATCAGTTTTTCCGGAGCAGTCCTTGAAGGTGTACATGATTGGAATTTCAATTTTTGTCTGAAAGAAGTAAACAAATATTTTTCTTAAAAAGTGATAAATTTTGAACAGAGTGACGAAGCTATTTTCAAAAAAAATTTACGCAAATGGAAGCACTTTAAAAATTGACTTCGTGTTTTGGGCTAAAAATACTGTATAAAAAAATTGGATAAACATTTTTCAAATTATTCAATCGAAACAATCCCACGTCACTCTGTGGAAAATCTATTTAGGAAGGTGTATCTTAATTTTCAAGTCAATCGGTTGAATAGTTTTTGAGTTATCATGTACACCGCCTCGGAAAATGTGGTTATTCGAGAAAAACGCAAAAGAAAAAAAATGTACTTTAGTGTATTATAACTTGAAATTTTGTCAACTTACTAATTAATCAGCAATTCCTGAGCCATAATACTCTTCTCCTAGAATGGAAAGAATGTCGTCCGATTCCTTTTGTTGAGCTCTTTTTAATTTTCTGGCCCCCTTTGTCGTCTTCTGCGTTCTCAGGTTGGCGATGGATACTCAGCGTTGGTCAACTTCTTCGCACATTCGCTGTGCATTTGGTCCAAATTTTAAATTTAATACTTCTACTTATATACTTTCTATCCGGGCACACAATTTTTGACATTTTTATTTAATATTAAAATTTACGTATACAACTCAACAATCTTTACTCTGCCTCTGTAGCTCGGAGCCAAGGAATGACAAGTTTCGTAAGGTGCAAAATACTTTTAGAAACTAGATTCTATTACAGTGGAAGGGATACAATAAATAGGACCCTTCGCAAATCATGACAGGGCCCCTTAGACCATTTACAAGTGGAAAGTAGTTAAGAAGGCGCCAAACGGCTTCCAGCAGCTCTCGGCGCGCTGACTTCTAATGAACATTACTTTCGTAATTATTGAGACATTCTCTTCGGAGACATCTCAAAATACTCGTTAGAATATAGACTTTGAAATTAAGCAAGAAAAAAATTAAATATTTTGAAAATTTCAGGGTGGCGTAACCCCTTAAATATAAAATGTTTCTTCGCGGTCCGTGTACTAAATATTTCTTTTTAACAAATTAATTTTAGGTATGCTCTGGTGGACCTGGTCAACGATTATCAACAGATCAATATCGAGCATGTATTCGTTCTCGAGCGTTAAATGAGGCCTCACACGCTCAACTGGGCTTCCTAGCATTTCGCGAAGACATTGCCAGTCAATCTCTAAATCTAAAATCATCTTCGCCGAAGAAAAAGAAGCCTCCATTAAAAAAGGAGAAGAAAAAATTGCCAAAGCAACAGACCAAAACGCAAGCTCAAGTTAAAGAGAAAATCGTAGGTAGGACATCAAAGGATCAAACTTGATCCCCTAATACTGATCGTCAGGAATTTTGACTGTAAATATTCTGTATAAAGAAAAAGAAAAAAAAATCCTTAAAGGCTGCAAAGTGTTATCTTTATTCGAAGGTTATTTTCAAGGAATATATCAATTCCGAAAGTTGAGGAAAAACCTAATAGAACCTTTATAAAAAACAACAACAGTTCAAGGGAGTATTTTACGTTTGTGGATGATGAAAAAAAAAATTCTAGTCGTTTGTAAGAAGTTACCGAATTTTTTTTTCTATTACTAAACGAAAATTAAAACATAAGAAAAGAAATAAAATTTTCCAAAATGATTAAAAATGTATTAAGACCGTGTCAAATCCTGTGCCTTGAGTTTTAGTAATTTAGTTTATAACTAGAAATATTTATTTCAAAATTTAATATTTTTTTATTTGTAATAGCTAATTTTTACTTTAATTTAATAGGTACAAAAAATATTAAACTCAACGAAGATATCTTGTTCCTAGGACACGGTCTTAATTCCAATATTAATTAAATGAAAAAAGAAAACTTGTATCTAGAAGAATTCAGATTTTAATTTTTTTTAATTTCACTTTTCCGAAATTAAAAAATTTCTATTTTTATAATTATTATGTATATTTGTAATAAATATTTATTGTCATTTTTATCATAATTATTATTGTTAATAGTAATGTTACTGTTACTAATTTTATTATTGTTGAATATTTTTTTCGTATCGAAAAATAGGAAAATTTGCAATAAGAATTTTAATAAATTAATTTATAAAAAAATCTTTTTTTAATTTTTTTCTATAGTTAAAGTTATCAGAAATATTTTATTGTGATAATGTGCTGTGAGAAGTTTAATATATACATAAAAAAAGTGTTGATTTTCTACAATGATAAAATATTTCGGTAAAATGAAACGAGAAATATTGTCAGGAAAAAATGAAAATCGATTGCTCCTTGGAATTGTTAAAGTGATTTCCTTCTACAATTTTGTGGAAGGACCATGTATTTATATTAAGGCAATTTTTATGACAATTTCTACAGCGAAATTCGTTTTATCGAATAAAATAAAAAAAAAATAAAATAAAAATTGGATTTTTACGCAAAATCATGAGATGAATGTTCTCAAGGTCAATTAGAAAAATGCAATAGTCGACTCAGTGATGATAATCTATCAAAAATAAATCATTTTTTCACACAAAATTCACACTTTTTTAATATTTTTTTATACTTAATATTTTTAACTTTTTTACTTACAGAAATATTTCTAAAAAAAAATATTTCCTTTTTTACTTAAACAGAAAAAAAATAATATTTAAAGTTTCTAGTCAAAGAAGAAAGACACAGGAAACATATCACTGGAAAAGACTTATTGGAAATAGAGTAAAATTTTTCATTATATTTAATGGATAAGCTTTCATCGCTGATTCGAATTGTTATCATACGTCCGAGATAATAGTTGTACATAAATATGAATGATAAATTAAAAATTAATTTTCTTTTGCAATAAAAATTTTTATTTACAAATTTTCAAAGTAAAAGAAAATATTAGTTTCAAGTAAGTAAATAGAACAAGAAAGAACAAACAAGTCTGCACCAATTAGGCGATTAGCAGCATTGAAAGTTGTATAAAATAATAACACGATTTTGTTGAAATGATAAATTTTTCATTTTCAAATTATTGAAAACAAATGACATCTTTCAATCATGAATGTTTCTATGTATATCTTTTCAAATGGGATAAATATACAAAAATGAATTCACGATTAAAAATTTTATTTTTATAGAAAAGTTTAATTAAAAATAAAAAAGGGTTTAAATTTATTTACTGTAATTAAAGAAATAAATTCTTTTGTTAAAAAATTTGTATACTTATCAAAAAATTAATTTATTGTGTATTGAAAAATTCCGATGAGTTTTAAAATTTTAAAGATATTTTATAGAAATACACATAGAAATAATTGTACGAGGAATAATACCATTTTTATTGTATTTAAAAAAAATTCCGTGATAAATTGGTATATTTATTCCTAAAATACGAATGAATTGTTGTATGAAATGTTATGTAAACGAAAATAAAATTATATAAATACACAATTTCATCTTACTTAATTGAGTTTAATTATTTTCTGAATTTATAAACAATTTAAGTTCTTTGCAGTATTTTATTTATACTCGATATAAAAATAAAAATATTTTTATTGCTGTAACCTTGCGGCAACATTACAAGAAATTAAGAAAAATTCTCGTCAAAATTTTAAATATCTTTATAAATAATAAAATTCTTCTTCGAAATTCAATTATTTTCGTAAAAAATTTAATAAAATTCTTGGCAAAATTTCAATTATTTTCAAAAATTTTCGTCATTTCAATTATTTTTGTTATCTACTATTTCAATAAAATTTTCCAAAAGAATTCAATTATTTAAACAAAATTTTAATAAAAATTTAACAGGAATTCAATTGCTTAACAATTTTTTATAAATTTCTTTTCACCAATTCAATTATTTTTTATTTTTAAATGAACTTTCTTTGAAAGAATTCAAACATATTCAGAGAATTAAAAAAAAAGTTCTGAGAATTTCAATTATTTCGAAAAATTTAAATAAAATTCTTTTAAAAATTCTATAATTTGAAAAAATGTTGACTAGATTCTTTACAAGATTTAGTTAATAAAATTGCAATTTTAATAAAATTTTCCTATACAGTTCAATTATTTTCAATACACGGAGAAAAATGGATTATATGTGATACAATCCAGATTATACTTCTTATGATATTTTTACATTGTATATAGGAGAGTTAATTGGGATTATAAAATTAAATATCTAAGTATTACCACTTTCAAATTATTCATCATATTAATTTCGATTATAAAACTAGCATCAATATAATTAGTCTTTAAGTTATTTTAAATAAATAAAATAATGACAAATCAGAACTACAAAACCAACAAATTTAAAAAAATTAATTTTATATTTTATTGCCTAATAATAAAATTAAAAAAAAAAAACCTTTCAATTTGTGTTTGCTAATAATTTATAAATTATATTAATTTATTAGTTATTGTCAATCCATAAATTTATTTTTTTAACAAATCAATTTATTTATTTATAAATTTTTGGTAATTTCTTTTTTATAAATATACAAAACTATTAAAACTATTATTAAGAAACTATTATTAAAATATTTATTAATTAAATAATAAATAATAATAATATACTCAATCTTGAAGAATAGAGAATTTTATTTCATTTTTTAAGTAGTAGCACCCTCACCCGAACGCCATCAGACAATCAAAATTTGGTAAAAACGAAAATGAAAATTTATTTCTTACAAATTTATCAATTCTAATCATCTGAAATTTTCTAGAGTTCTAGTAGGGACTGAGCCCTACTCAATCCTGAAAAATAGAGAATTTTATTTCAATTTTTTAGTAGTAGCACCCTCACCCGAACGCCATCAGACAATCAAAATTTGGTAAAAACGAAAATAAAAATTTATTTCTTACAAATTTAACAATTCTAATCATCTGAAATTTTCCAGAGTTCTTGTAGGGACTGAGCCCTACTCAATCCTGAAGAATAGAGAATTTTATTTCAATTTTTCAGTAGTAGCACGCTCACCCGAACGCCATCAGACAATCAAAATTTGGTAAAAACGAAAATAAAAATTTATTTCTTACAAATTTAACAATTCTAATCATCTGAAAATTTCCAGACTTCTAGTAGGGACTGACCCCTACTCAATCCTGAAGAATAGAGAATTTTATTTCAATTTTTTAGTAGTAGCAGGTCCACCCGTACGCTATCAGACAATGAAAATTTGGTAAAAACGAAAATAAAAATTTATTTCTTACAAATTTAACAATTCTAATCATCTGAAATTTTCCAGAGTTCTAGTAGGGACTGAACCCTACTCAATCTTGAAGAATAGAGAATTTTATTTCATTTTTTAAGTAGTAGCAGGTCCACCCGTACGCTATCAGACAATCATAATTTTGTAAAATAGAAAATAAAAATTTATTTCTTCCAAATTTAGTAATTCTAATCATCTGAAAATCACCAGAATTCAAGTAGGGACTGAGCCCTACTCAATCTTGAAGAATAGAGAATTTTATTTCAATTTTTCAGTAGTAGCACCCTCACCCGAACGCCATCAGACAATCAAAATTTGGTAAAAACGAAAATAAAAATTTATTTCTTACAAATTTAACAATTCTAATCATCTAAAATTTTCCAGAGCTCAAGTAGGGACTGAGCCCTACTCAATCCTGAAGAATAGAGAATTTTATTTCAATTTTTCAGTAGTAGCACCCTCACCCGAACGCCATCAGACAATCAAAATTTGGTAACAACGAAAATAAAAATTTATTTCTTACAAATTTAACAATTCTAATCATCTGAAATTTTCCAGAGTTCTAGTAGGGACTGAACCCTACTTAATCCTGAAGAATAGAGAATTTTCTTTCAATTTTTTAGTAGTAGCACCCTCACCCGAACGCCATCAGACAATCAATATTTGGTAAAAACGAAAATAAAAATTTATTTCTTACAAATTTAACAATTCTAATCATCTGAAATTTTCCAGAGTTCTAGTAGGGACTAAACCCTACTCAATCCTGAAGAATAGAGAATTCTATTTCAATTTTTTAGTAGTAGCACGCTCACCCGAACGCCATCAGACAATCAAAATTTGGTAAAAACGAAAATAAAAATTTATTTCTTACAAATTTAACAATTCTAATCATCTGAAATTTTCCAGAGCTCAAGTAGGGACTGAGCCCAACTCAACCCTGAAGAATAGAGAATTTTGTTTCAATTTTTCAGTAGTAGCACCCTCACCCGAACGCCATCAGACAATCAAAATTTGGTAAAAACGAAAATAAAAATTTATTTCTTACAAATTTAACAATTCTAATCATCTGAAATTTTCCAGAGTTCTAGTAGGGACTGAACCCTACTCAATCTTAAAGAATAGAGAATTTTATTTCATTTTTTAAGTAGTAGCAGGTCCACCCGTACGCTATCAGACAATCATAATTTTGTAAAATAGAAAATAAAAATTTATTTCTTCCAAATTTAGTAATTCTAATCATCTGAAAATCACCAGAATTCAAGTAGGGACTGAGCCCTACTCAATCTTGAAGAATAGAGAATTTTATTTCAATTTTTTAGTAGTAGCACGCTCACCCGAACGCCATCAGACAATCAAAATTTGGTAAAAACGAAAATAAAAATTTATTTCTTACAAATTTAACAATTCTAATCATCTGAAATTTTCCAGAGCTCAAGTAGGGACTGAGCCCAACTCAATCCTGAAGAATAGAGAATTTTATTTCAATTTTTCAGTAGTAGCACCCTCACCCGAACGCCATCAGACAATCAAAATTTGGTAAAAACGAAAATAAAAATTTATTTCTTACAAATTTAACAATTCTAATCATATGAAATTTTCCAGATTTCTAGTAGGGACTGAACCCTACTTAATCCTGAAGAATAGAGAATTTTATTTCAATTTTTTAGTAGTAGCACTCTCACCCGAACGCCATCAGACAATCAAAATTTGGTAAAAACGAAAATAAAAATTTAT